TTCTTGTGGTTTCAGAAGCTTTGCAAACAAAAATACGAATATTGAAAAACCGTTTCCAAATGCCGATTGGAGTCATTTAAAATTAATGTATTTATATTAATAGAACTTAAAAATGAAACTTACATTTAAAGTTTGAAAAATATTTATAAGTTTTAAGAAAGAGTCGCAATTAAATGCTAATTAACAAAGTTACTCTGGAGAAACTTATGAAATAAATTAAATATATTGAAATAAATATATAAATTAATGATGATTAATGATGTATTGTGCCCCTAATAACTTGTTTTGTTTTGTTAAGCAGTGTTGACAGAAAAACATATGGCTTAATCGCTAGGTCTGGAACTAATTGATGTGTGCTCCTGCTATCTGAACAATCCGGTCATACTCTCTCTCATCACTTGCAGGTGGCAGAGTATCAAAATATTTTTGTTGACGTTGTCGTCGTCGGCGACGTTGTTGTTGTTGTCGATGCATTATACGTTGTAATTGGTTTTTGCCTCTCAGAATGTTGTCGTCGTTGGCGGCAACAACAGCAAGCGATAAATGCAATCGTGAAATATGATTGACATTGCATAATAGCTGTGTGTGTAAAAACAACAGATAGTCGTAGTTGCAAGGGAAATACATACATGGGCACTCACTTCGATATTTGCAGTTCATTTAGCAGCATTTTATCAACAACTATTATGCAATTACACACACAGAACAACAACAACAATGCGATTGCATTTCAGATACACGTGCAGTTATATATGAGTTGCAACACATAATTTCCACTTACGCAAAACTGACGAAGGAATGCACGAAAGAAAGTGTAAAAAAACAACGAAAACAAAATCACAAAGACAGCTAAAATGCCTCTACGATTGTAGTGTATGTGTGCGTGTGTGTTTGGGTTCTATTTGCAAAATTGTTTACCAACTTTTTCCCTTCCCTTTGTGACAATTGTATGTGTGTGTGTGTGTGTGTTGGGAACAATGCGTAGATTGTGAAATAGACCCCACACATACATACTTGTATGTATACTACCGTTTATTATCAGAGGTCAACACACAGCTGGAATTTCGCAAGAAAAACTTCAATCATGTAAGCTCCAAGGAGTGGGCGCCGTTAGATGACTGCTCCAAAGATATTTCTCAGAACTCGTTAGTTGATGCACACTCACAAAGAATGCTGATAAATTACGTCAAAGCAAAAAAGTTGAGAAAAAATGATATGCAACGACCTGAAAAGTTGTTGACAAATTTAAAGTTTCATTTCCCTTAAGCATTCCTTTCTTTTCAACAACAATCCTAATTCGTTTCACAAAAACTACTAGACATATAGTATGTGTAGAGATTTTTAAGTTTAAATTTCATTTGTTAAGAAAAGTAGAAGTCTTTACGACGATCAAAAGGCTTTTTAACTGTTGATTTCTGTTGATTTATTTTAAGAATTTCATTCTTCAAGAACAATTTCTCAAATTCTTCAAAGAGGCCATCAGTCTTTACTTAAAAACGGTATTATTTTTATTTCTAATTTTGATACAGAAAATGAATGCGCATATCAGAAGCCATATACATATGTATGTATAGCCTCATTATTTTATATAGCTGCCTGAGGAAGAATCGAAATCACGCTTAGTAAAATAACTATTGGTTTCAAAGAGCCCCACAATGCTCCGCAGTATAACTTATATGGCTACACATATATAGTTGCCATAGAAACGATCGGTACAGAAATTAATCTTATGTTTATTATGAACTCTTAAACAAAACTGGTATTTACATATAAGTACCTTACAGAGTCCCAAAAGAATCTGAATCTTATAGCTACCACTTTTAATGCCTTTTTTATTTTTTATAATTTTACTTTTAATTATTTTACCATTAATTATATTATTTAATTTTCATAGACCTTTCTTACATTCGTTATTTGTCATAGAAACGATGGGTCTTCGGAAAACAATTGAAAAACTTGTGCACCATTCCGGTTTATTGCGAAAAATTCGAATTTCCTGTAGCTATGACATTATTTTGTTAAATAACTACAGGCCTATACAAATATTTTCGTGTCTTGAAAACCCAAATACTACAAGTAGCTTATATGCTGTATACTTAGTTATAGACTATTTGTATAAACCGCTTATATAACATCACTACTAAGCACAATAATGATGTGTGCCAACAATTCTTATCGCAATAATACATACATAAGTATGAAAAAAAGAAATTTTTGCCTTGCCATATGTTGGCACTTCTCAAATTCTCTATTAACTGGGCCATGTGTCCAATGACAATAACAATAACAACAACAGAAACAGCAAGATAACACTAACAAATTTCATTGCACGCATTTTTTTGGCATGGTTTTATTTTCTTAGCTTGCGTTTGAGGTACGAAATGTAAACAAACTATAGGTCGAAAAAAATAGCTTGAAAACAAGAAATAAAGAAACGAAAAAGTCTCATGATGCCGGGTACCTAGAAAATTGTTTACATAACAAAAACTAAAGACGAGACGAAGAGGCCTTCCGACGACATTATTGTTGTTGTAGTAGTTGCTGTTGTTGTTGTTGCTGTTTGGCACGCTCTTTGACTCGGCAGTGGTGTGTTTTGTGTTGTGCCGGCTTTGTTTATCTTCACGATACACGACGACGTCAAAGAAAAACGTGCGCACATTAGCACAGACACAATGTTTTTGTTTTTTTTCTTTCTATTATTTCTTTGTTTTTCACGCACACACACGAATACACAAACGTTTGAGCACTATTCTCGAAGAGCGGCCAGAGTCAACAAACTGTGCGATTATGAGCAAATGAGCATTCGTGTGTGTGCGCGCGGCGCGTAAGAGAGACTAAAAGAGCGAGATGGAGCGTGGAAGAGCGAGCGGGTGGCAATGGATGTTTGTGTTTGTGTTCGTGTACGTGTTGTTGTTAGAATGTTGTGGGGCTTTTGTTTTTTCCGATTTTGATTTTGATTCGGTTACTGGCGCGCCATAAAGTCAACTAGCTGCGTGATTCAGTGTTAATTTTCATAATATTATGTAATGGGTTGCTGGCGCTCGTACGCTCGTGAATTTGCTTTGCATAAACGTATGCAAGCCAGCCTGTGGACGCATTTTCCGATGCAGTGCCATAACAGATCAGAGCGTATGCATATTTTTTCTAAGCTGCCCGCCCGCTGTCTGCCGCGAACTGCGCGTTTGTTTTGGCACACGCGCCATACCGAGTTCAATGAACTCCACGCGCTGTTTATATAACGCTCGGTCAGAACAATGAAAAAACGAGAAGAGGAAGAACTCAGCGAAATGAATTGAAATGACAGCCAAGCATTTCAACAACCTAATAATTAAACTGGCGAACGCGACAAATGTCACGTCACTCCGCCGCCTTCGCCGTCGCCGGCATCGGCATCGGCACCGCTCGCAGTCGCAGTCGCAGCGCACAGAACGTTCGTTCGTCCCAATGCATAGGTTAAGTAATGATACGATAGATATTTTTTTGGTCGGCCAACTAAACTATAAAAAACGAATTGCATGCCAGACCGATTCTTAAATGCCCTGTACTCGGCTCTCTAAGAAATTTCATAACCTTTATATGTACATACAAATGTGAATATGTCTTTTCTTCTTCTTCTTTTGAAAAAGTGTTCTTTTTAAGTATATATGTTATATTTATAACTTAAACTTAAATTAAACTTATAGTTAAATACAAATACAACTTAAACTAGGTGTTTAGTCTTAATTACAATTCAACATTTATAGTTTATATAAATCTGTTGAATTTTATTTTCATCAATTTATATTAATTTATAAAATCTACATATATATGGTAAATTTTAAGAAATATTAATATTAAAATATTTAGTAATCAATTTTTAAATACTATATGTATTTAAAAACAAATTTTATCATAAAAATATTTCGAAATTTTTTCTTATTCTTGAACATGCACATGCATATATGTATTTATAATGCGTTGACGTAGATATAAAATCTGTGTGGTCTGTCACACCTTCCTTTGGTGGTTACAAAAACTAAACGATTTAGTAATACATATTCTTTCACCCATCGGTTAAAGGGTATAAGAAAACAAAAACAAGTGAGCGCAGCAATCAAAATGAAATGAAATCAAAATTCAAAATCAAACAGTCATTGGGGGGCAGTGTGGGCGCCCAAAAGAAAAGAGAGAGAGAGAGAGAGAGAGAGAGAGCGCGAGAGTGACAGTTAAGAGCATAAGTGCAGCTCTCGCTCTGAATTTCATCCAAGCTCTCTGCTCCACTCTTGGGTGTACGATGGTCTGCATTGTGTGTGTGTGTGTGTATGCCTGTGTGTGAGACTGAATTATAAAACAGAATCAAAAGCGGCTGTAGCAGCAGCGCCAACAACAACTGCCAGCCAGCCAGCCAGCCAGCCAACCAGCTAGGCAGGCAGGCAGGCAGTCAGAATCAACGAACGGCATTTTGTGCGTTACGTAAATCATACAGTTGATTTCATTGCGTCTTCTTTTTTCCGTTCTTTTCTTTTACTTAGATGTCGGTTGCCGCTTCCGCTTCTATAGCCATACAGCCAACACCAGCCATAACACAACAACACCAACACCAACAACAACAGCAGCAGCAGCAGCATTAGCAGCAGAAGCAACAACAAGCAACAGCACTCAAAACTTCATTCAGTGCTTAACAAGAAGGCGCAGCGAACGGACGCGCAGCGCTCCCTAAAATACAAGTTTTTTTCGAAAAATAAATTAATTCTATTTGCCAAAATAAGAATTGTGCACAATTCGCAAGTGACAAAATAAATATTAAAAAAAAAAATTAAATTTATGCAACAAGTTTATGACAATAAAAAAATTGTCGCCAAAAAAAAAAAAAAAATAAAAATAAAAATAAATTTCAAAGCTAATGGAAAAAAAATACGAAAAATGTGAAGTGAGCGTTCAAACAAATTAGCGCAAGTGCTTAGCAAAAGTTTTAAAGAAATTTGAAGAAAGCGAAATATAAATAATTTTGTTCGAAATTAGTTCGCACGTTTTCGTAGCATGTCAAAAAGTGTCGCCGAACAATATCAAATCAAAAAGAAGCGCAGAAAACATATAACAAAAACAAGAACAACAGCAGACGACAATTGCAACCGCCACCACCACCACCAACTAAACAATAAGAATAACAACAACAACAACAACAACATCTGCTACAAGTACAAAAATCAAATAATAAATTATAAAAAATTCAAACGAGACGAAAATTACTTCGCTCACATCGAGCGTCGCATACGTGACCGCGGGCAGATAGCCAAAGGCATAAAACCAACAACAAGGGCTGCAATAGGAACAAAAATAACAACAACTACAACACCAACAACAGCAGCAGCACTGGTAACCATGCCGCTCTCTCGGGGCTACTATGTGAAGCCCTCGCTGGCGACCAAGCGGGGCGGCCTCAAGCCTTTGAAACTGGGCGAGGCGAAGCGCAGCAAGTCGCATACGCAGGAGAACGATGAGATATTGGGGCTGACACAAAGCTCGATGCTGCAACACGACAGCTATAATCAGCGACCGAAGAATTCGTTGCATCTCACATACCTCCTGGGCGAATCGCTTGCCAAGAAGGGCCGTCTGCCCTCCGCCTTCAATGTCTACGAAAACATTGCCAGTCGCCAGCTGGATGGCTACGTCCCGCTCGATAAGCTGGGCGTGCTGGCCCATGCGGTCACCGCCCACATCCGTCAGCTGGCAGGACACGAGGCCGCAGCGAAGGCACGCTGCCAGAGCACACGCCAGCATTTGGACAACTGGACGGCGCAGACGTTGGACCTGAGTCAGCACAAGGAGCTGCAAATGGAGCTGGACAGCCGAGAGCTGCGCGTCTCGAGTCCTGCACACTGCGAGGACTACGATCCGCTGCACTGTCCGCTCTGTCGCGACACCCTCCGCTGTCCCGTCACCACCAACTGTGGCCACACCTTCTGTCGACAATGCTGCGAAACCATAACCATGTGCAACATCTGCCACGTGAAGTTCCCGCGCAGTGCCGACCCACAAATGGGCGTGGCGAGCATGGGCGGTGGTGCGTTGACCACAACCACCAGCAGTAGCACCACAGCCTCGCCAGCGAGTCGCTTCTTTGCGGGATTGGGCAATTCGAGTGCTTTGAGTGTGCCGTCCACAGCGAGTTTTCCTGGCAACTTCGGGCTGCGTTCGCCCGTCCCTGCGCCCACCACAGTCACCACCACCACAGTGGCCTCCACCACGGCCACAGCGACCACCACAATGGCCTCCACATCCGCGGCAGCAGCAGCAGGCCTGGGCTATGTGGCCGCCTTGGGATCGCCTTCCCTCGGACGAACCGCCAATGCCATGAAATTCATGCCCGACGTCCTCATCCGACGTCTGGTGGAGAAGTGGTGGGGCGCCGACTTGCAGGCCAAGAAGATTAACGAGAAGGCCAGCAGCTGCATGCATTTAAATTTACTCGACGATGCCCTCAAGTTCTGCAATGCCAGTCTGGAGAAAGGTGAGTCACACAACTCTGCAATAAATATTCAAAAATACAGCTTATATAATATTTTAAACATGCCGACTTAAGCGCTAAAGATCAATTTCGGGTGGGTTGGATTTGCCAAAAAGGATGTGTTATTTGTCCATTTTCCTCTCGAACAAATGTTCGAATGATTATTATATGAACTTTTCTGTAGATTTCGTTGTTTAGTGACGAATCTATTTTCAGCATTATAAACAATTTCAATGAATAAGTAATAATAGTTGAGTTTAAAAATTTATTTACCCTTTTTCCCTTGGGGAAAGGGTGTAATTAATAAAAATTGAGAAACTATTCATTTCATAGATGAAGTGATGATAAAAAGTAATTTATATTAACCATTAAAAGAGCACGCTAATTTATTTATTTTAGAATTTTTTTTTAAATATTATTTATGAAATAAATCAAATTGCATTCTATGCACATTTTATATTAAATGTACATTAAAAAACTCCTCTGGGAGCGTTTTTTCTTAGGCTTCCTAATAGACAACAAGCCAATTTTTAGAAGAAAGCAAACGTAAATAATGTTTTCTAAGCTTTCCAATACGCTTCTCATAGGTAGAAACTTAATGATCGCATTTTCCGAAAGGATAGAATATGTAAAGAATATTATATAAATAAAGGTTTTTACAGAATTTATCAAAAGGAAAAACCAAAAGGCGCTTCCAACAAACAATACCAAAATTGAATTAAGGTAGTATATCCTTTTTTTCTTTGGATTACGCTGAATAAAAAATTAGTTCCTAAGAGCCAGTAAGATTGGTTTAGAACGAATGTTTCGAACAAATTATGTGACATCGAAAGAACATTTTGGGAAAGTGCTGAGCTATATTTGAACTCAGTCAGTATATATTGATAAATACTTCGCACAATTGAATCGAATGAGTGAGAAATATTGTATTAAAAAATCATGCAGAATGCAAAAGAAAATGTCCTTGCACCCTATGCGCTTCTCAAAAGCAACAACGACTAAGTGATGAGAGATTGAGAAATTATAAATTTCTTAGGTATTTGTGACTGAGAAATTTCTTAGAAAGCACCTTCACCTTGGAAAGCCTTCAGTCCATTCCTGGTTATCAGCAGCTCTCTTGGGATTGAAGGTGCATAGAAGGCGGCCAACCTGCCCTGATTTATCATCGAACCAACCTCGTCTGCCATATGCTTTGTGTAAACGCGACTCTAAATTGAATTGGGTGGAAAAATCAATAATGGGCCCATGCCAGGGGCGTCTGCTTACGTCAGTGGGCCTGACAGCGGCAGCAACAAGTTTCCCAAGTACGTGGGGTGTTTGTGTGTGGACCTATCGAGGAGTGGTGGACTGGTGGGTTGTTGTGGGATGGGGGGGGGGGGCCCTTTTATTTTGTTGGTTGCTTAATGACATCGTCGTCGCCGCCGCCACCATTTGTCCTTTGACATGCTGGGCGCATGGGTCGTATGAGTAATTTATGTCGCAACAGTCGCAATTTCCCGAGCACAGCAGCCCGGCATGCAGTCGCAATACTCATGCCTGTAATTTGTCAGTTTTCACTGCCTTTGTGGTTCTTGTTTGTCTCTGTTGCTACTTTATTTTCTCCCCCTTATGCCCTGGTCTCTCTAATTGTGTTTTGTTTTCCGTTTCCTGCTGCCTTATTTTATTGCCCCGACGCTCTGTTTACTTTGAGCTCGTGCCGAGCGGGTTGAGTCTGTGAGTCCGTCAGCTTGTGTGTGTTTCTGTGCCAAGGACTTGATTATAAAATATTTATAGCACGAATTCAGTAAGTAAATAAGGCATGCCAAAAAATACGAATACGAGTACGAGTGACAGAAAAATTCCTTGGGAGCTCTCTAAAAATTACAAATGGCGTCGCTCAAGTGGCCCATCAAACTTTTTTCAAATCACCAGCGTATGAATAATTGAGCTGCTGAGTCAACATGTTGCGGCTTTTCCAACGCACACACACACACACACACACCCATAGATCCACTCAAAAAAATATATAGAAGCTAATTAATCATTCACACAATATATGACCACCACCTCTACTTACATATATGTGTCTGCTGGGGAAACACTTGTAGAAAAAATCGAAAAAAATAGTGTGGTGTCTATTTTTTTGGTGTTAAGCTCTTTTTTGAAAATCTCAGCGATTTACGCATTTAGAAATCCATCAAACAAATTTACAACAAGAACAACAAGTAGAGCCTGAAATCGGACAGACAGCAAGTTGGAATAAAATAGCAGAAGACGAGCAAACACACACACACACACACAGAAAACTAAGTATTGGGGCGTGTGGCAGACCCTGCTGGCAGTTTTCACATCCAACATACTACGCGTATACTAAAATTAACAATATCAATTAAGAAAACTGTCTGTGTGCTTTTCATCTGCTTCTTCGCACTGTTGACTTAAGTGGCCGGCCGGACGAGCAGGTCCGCGTCGTGGGTGTCTTCTGGTGAGTGCAGAATGAAAGTGGAAATGGAAACGTAAGTGCCTCAATTGTTTTGTGCGGTACAGTGTGAGTGGCAAGCTATGATTCCTCCTGCTAGTCAAGCACTTGGAATTATAAATAGATAATACAATAAAACGCTGATTTAGTTACAAGTAGGTGGAGAACATTTACTTTAAAAATAATTCCTAAAGGAAAACTCTAAAGCAAAATTACTTCCAAGTTTTTTCTCTATTCGTTTTATATTTGTTGAGCATATATTCTGCAGTTAAGCATTTGTATAAGCAATAAAATCGCAATCTCGTAATCTACTTGTATTGATTAAAAAAAGCAATTGTTTCAAAGCCGTTCGAAATCATCAAATTAAATCGCACTTTATAGCAGTTTAAAGAATTTTTGAAGAACGCTTATAGAATAATAAATAAAAGCATTTGTAAAGATTTTGTTAGAGTTAAAATATTAAAGGCTTAAACAAGTGTGAGAAAAATAATTCAGTATTGCAACAATTAGTGCTGTCTACCGCCAAAAGAATTAAGTACATTTATTTCACTTTAGTATAGTTTTAAAACTAATATACAATATTAAATCTAAACGAGTGCAAAGGGACATGTTTTAAATAATATTATTGAAAAATTGGTAGTAAGTTTTCGTATAAACAGACCAGTCGTTACTTTTCCAAGCAATCTTTATAAAGATTTTTCTTGAGCGTATTTGTAAAGGTATGAAATATGTGTGTATTATAGATCTTAAAAAACCTTCGTAAGTGCCAATTATAAAAGGTTTGCAATGCCTTACCTATTGAATAGATTATATATTCGCTGAAAAGGGAAGGGCTCAGTAGGAGTAAAGTAAAAGACAATAGTCGCGGACCGCCGTGCGTCTGTTCGCTTTAGAGTTTTATTGGAGACTGACACTTTTGCTATACATATTCTTTATGCTTACATTCGTATGCAACAGTGACAGATAACTTGTAGATAACATAAGATTATTATCTGCTTATATTAACATGCGTGCATTGGTACTTATGTTTGTATTGATTTTCAACACCCTTCCTCAATGCAAACATGTTTTACAAAAATTTTCAAATCAAATTTAACAGCTTTGTAAAATGAACATGCTTCGCTTTAGGGAGATTTTTCGTTAAAATATCAGCTATCATTTCATTGGTTGATGTATACTGTAAAACAATTTGTTCTTCGTTTACAACCTGTCTTGCAAAATGATATCTAATATCAATATGCTTTGTTCTTTCATGGTGTACAGGATTCTTAGCTAATTGTTGAGCACTTAAATTATCGCCATGAAGAATAGTTGGAGTACTCGAGTCACCGCAGCCAATCTCCACTATAAGACGCCGTAGGTATATGGCCTCCTTACACGCAGTTGAAAGAGCCATATACTCCGCCTCCGTGCTGCTAAGTGCCACGCTGCGTTGCTTTTCAGATCGCCAGGATATGGGTCCTCCAGCCAAGTAGTATACATAGCCAGTATACGACTTGCGATCGATGCGGTCGCCACCCCAGTCTGCATCCACATAGCCGGTAAGGGGTTGTCCACACTCTTTGTAGTGCAACTTCAGGTCCACAGTTGACGCCAGGTATCGAAGCACATGTTTTACACCCACTAGGTGCTCTGCATGCGGATCTTGATTCCGTTGAGCTAACTTGGCAACGGAATGCAATATGTCTGGCCTTGTTGTAAGCGCCAGCCACATTAACTCGCCAATTGAAGACTGGTAGGATGCAATGTCAACCTTTTGACAATGCTCGCTGGTACATATCACTTGGAAACCAGCATCCAGTGGGGTCGCTGTAGGTCTACAGGTCTCGCATCCATGTTCACGCAATATGTCTTTGATGTATTGCGAATTGCTTAGCGAAATTTCGCCAAGCTCACCGTCGCGCTGCACTTCCATGCCAAGGAACAAATGCAGCTCTCCCTTGTCAACACATTCAAACGATGTTGTAATGGCTGACTTGATGTTGGCCAAGTCCTCTTTTGATCGGCATGCTATAATTATATCATCAACATAAACAAGGATTAATGATAAGTCACCTCTTCCGTTCCTTTTGTAAAGACACGGTTCATTTTCACATGCTACAAAATCTATGCCTTGTAGTACACAATCGAGCTTGGAGTTCCACTCGCGCCCCGACTGCTTCAATCCATATATTGCCTTTTTAAGCAATAAAGCCTTACTTGGATTATTGGGATCTGTGTATCCCTGTGGCTGCTTCATATAAACAGTTTCATGCAGGTCGCTATTCAAATAGGCGGTACACACATCTATCTGGTGAAGGTACAGCTTCAATTCCGCTGCTAACGCCAAAATAAACCGCACGGTTTCCAATCTGCAAACGGGTGAGAACGTCTCTACATAGTTCACGCCATACTTCTGGGAGCACCCTTTAGCAACGAGTCGTGCCTTGAAACGTTCGACTTTTCCATCAGAGTCACGTTTCAGGCTGTATACCCACTTGCAACCAACTGCTCGCTGATCTTTTGGTAAATCAGCCATCTGCCAGGTTTCGTTTGATTGTAGTGC